TCCTCCGCCAATCCCAACTCAGCTGCCCACACGCCGAGTACGCTGCTCTCCTCCAATCAGGAGCAGGTCCTACAGTTTATTAGTTGAACTGGAGGCAGCTGTGCGGAAGCTGTTTACTTCTCTCCCAGCGCCATATTGTGGGAGAGCAGATGCATAGAATAAGTCTTAATTCCAGTAACTCAGTCTAGTCCGGATTGCTCCCCACAAATCCCCCTTTCTTTTTATTTTTTGGCGTTGATACGCGCCTGTCTTCGGTGTCCCGCGGCACACACTCTGCTCTACTTGCTAGAGTTGCCACAGGCTCTTACAAGTCCTATCAGGCAAACCGAATCCGGGTCCTCTCTTCGCCATGTTATGAGGAGGTTTTTAGGCGCTGATGCGTGCCTGTGTTCGGTGCCCTGCAGCGCATGCTCTGCTCTGCCTGCAGGGGCTTACAAAACCTAGCAATCAGGCAAACCGAATCCAAGCCTTCTCAGCGCTGTGTTGTGGGGAGGCCTTATTGATGTTAATTCGTGCCTGTCTTCGGTGACCTGCGGCGCATAAGCTGCTAGCCGCCGCAGGTGCTCATCGTGCTCATCGCCTCACTTAATCAGGCAGACCGAATCCAAGCTCTCACATTGCAGTGTTGTAGGGAGGCCTTTCTATTTCTCTATTTCTCTATCTCCGGGCATTCCTATTTCTCCCATTTTACTTCTATCTTCCAGCATTCCCATTTCTCTCACTTTACTTCTAAACTTCTGTTTCTCTTATCCCCGCGGCTTCCCGGCTGCGCCTGCCCTGAGGCTGCTTCTCGGCAGCTTTCCGGCTCTGAGCCGCTTCAGCCCGCGCCTCTCTCATCTGCGCAGCTTCCCGGCTTTGCGCGGCTTGGCTTCGCGCGCTCCGCGGTCTCCACGCCCTTCGCGTCTGCACCACGGCCTCGCGCCAGCCCCGTTCCCTATCTATTCACGCCCCGTGCTCTCTCTGCACGCGGCGGCTTCCGCGAGTAACACAGCGTAGCTTACGTGTCCGCCACTAGCATTCAATCTAAGTTCTCCGGGCTAGCCTGGCGAATTCAACCCAGCATACGTCTCCGCCCCACGATTTGGCTTCCCGTCCTTTGCTCCCCGGGCTAATCAGACGGATCCCAATCTGGCTTACGTTTCAGCTTCTGGTTTCAACTTTTCGCCCCCTATTCCCGGGCTAACTTGAGAACCCCAAAGTGGCTTTCGTGTCCGCCTTGGCCTGCCCCCCACGGCTTCAATTTCCCTAACATTTTTCTCTACCCGGTATGTTTCCCCAAACTTTCCTCCAACAATATTCCTCCCTCATTTCTCCTGGCCTCTCCCCACAGTCCGTATCCGAGTCTGTTTGTTCTAGCTTTCACTTTCGCTTTCGACCTTAGAGATTTCTCCCAGCTTCCCCCGTAGTCCGTATCTGAATCTATGCCTAGGCTTTCAACAGCTTCCTCCGGCACCTTTTTCGTCCGGCTTTTCCCTAGGCTGTTTGCTAGTCTCTCTCTCCGGTATTTTTCCCAGTTCTTCCCGTTCTTTCCCTCCTAGGTTTCCTATCCGTCCTAGGTTTCCTATCCGAGCTAGGTTTCCTATCCGAGTCATTTCTTCCCTCCTAAGTTTCCTATCCGAGTCACGGCACCATTATGTCGCTCCCCCTCTTCGTGGAGGAACGACACAGGACCCTGCGCTGTTCTTTCGTCTGCTCGGCCTTCCCCGGGTTTGCTGCTGGTTCTTCCCGGGTTGGCTACTATCCCTTCCACCTCCGTGGAAGGGCAGTTCCCCCTAGCCACATTCCCCACTTCCGCAGGGGAGCGGCACACCGCCGGCCGGCTTTCTCGGGGGCTGCACGGGTTCCCTTAGATGTTCCCCATAGATGTTCCTGGTGCATGCCGTCTCTCTCCTCCTTTATAGTCCTCCTCCGCCAATCCCAACTCGGCTGCCCACACGCCGAGTACGCTGCTCTCCTCCAATCAGGAGCAGGTCCTACAGTTTATTAGTTGAACTGGAGGCAGCTGTGCGGAAGCTGTTTACTTCTCTCCCAGCGCCATATTGTGGGAGAGCAGATGCATAGAATAAGTCTTAATTCCAGTAACTCAGTCTAGTCCGGATTGCTCCCCACACTCTTCTACTTACCTAAATGTGACTTTAGAAACACTGATTCAGTATCTACAATAGATATTTTAAAAAGGTAAATATGATAGGTAATTGAAAGATCGGGCCACCTCCATGAAAGAATTTCAGGGACATTGAGAAGTTCTACTACCCCTAATACATTCTATCACCACAGGTGGACTTTGCATGAAATAATCCAAGGCTTTGTTTCAAAGTAAACAGATCGTCAGCAAAGAGGACCTAGAAGAAGCAACACCCCAATAGCAGTGAGGTGAGTACACCTACTATCCTAATCTTGATTTCTAATACCATTTACCATGAAAAGGAACTGGTACTCCCAGTTGGCAAAAGTGAAAGAATTTGCACAAGAAAATAATGCAATATTATGTGACAACCCATATATAATATAAATATACATGAGTCAATGCTGATATAAATGAATAAATAAGTGGAAGAGAAGACACACACACACACACACGAATTCCAAATAATTTATGTAGAGATATCACTCTTAAGGAACTTGAACATAACTCTTCATTCCCTAAGTGTGAATCAATAATGACTTTCTCCCAAATAGTACATAGTATGGAAAGGGTGAAAAAAGCAGCTTACCAGTGGAGAAAGACAAATACTCTGCAAATCTAGGTGATCAAGGTCAACATCAAGAGTGATAAGTCCTATTGATAGTATGTATCTTTGATGTAATATGATGAGAATGGTATTTTCATTCTGTGGTATTCTGCCCCAAAACATATTGTTCTAGTCTAACCATGAGGAAAAATATCAGATACATCCCAATTGAGGAATGTTCTATAAAATATCGAACCAGTACAACTCAAGCTGTCAAAGTCATCAAGAACAAGGAAAGTGAGAAACTGCCACAGACAGTAAGAGCTTAAGGAGACATGACAAGTAAATGTAGTATAGTAGCACAAATAGGATTCTGAAATAGATTTTTAAAAAATCAAGGAAAAACTGAGGAAATCTGAAAAATTATGGATTTTAGTTGATGATAACATACCAGTATTGGTTTACTAAATTTAACAAATGTATCATTAAGTTGTTAATAACAGAAATTCTCTGTACCACCTTAGCAATAATTTTCTCAATATAAAATTGTTCTAAAATGTAAGTTTACTTAAAATCTGATAAGGGATTTTTGTCACAGTTTTTTTGTAGGAAAAAAACTAGAAATAAGATATATGCTCACCAACAGGGAAATGAATAACTAAATTGTGGTCTCATTGGATATACATATCAATCAACATAGAATACTATATATGTAAAAGAATGAGTGATATTTCTGTAGTTGACTTTGAGAGAATTCCACTTTGAATTTTTACTAAGAGAGAGAAATCTATAACTGTCATTTTGTAACACAATGAGGAGACTATCCCCAAGTAAACATGTTCTCATAATTAAAAGACTCAAGAAAGTATAAGGATGAAGACTACATTGTTAACAATGTTAGGCGCAGTAGAATGGGGTTAGATGGGAGAAGGGGAAAGAAGGAAGTATGAACAGTGAGGAGATAAGCAGAGCAGAGGAAGTCAGCCATAACTAATTCAATAATCCTTGATAAACTTAGCAAATGTACAAGTATATAGTGGCCTGAAGCTTTGCAAATAAGACTTCAAATCTGTGAAAAGAAACAAGCAAATAGGTAAGGGGAAGAAAAGACAGTTCTGAATGGCACCTTTGAAGGAGAGTAGGGGATGGAAAAGAGTTGAGCCGGGGAAGAGTAGCAGTACACTAGAGAATACAGTGTCAGTCACTAAAGCTGAAATGTGTCTAGTTCTCAATTTTGCCAAGAGCTTCCCAAGAAGAAGAAAATATTGCTTATTGCTAAGAGCGTGATCAGAATGCTTGCTGCCTCTGCCAAGACCCTGGGGATTTTGCTTACCACAAGACTAAACTTACCACTTGCTCCCCTAACACTCCTCCTCCACACAAAAGTGTTTCTTAAAGCATCAAGAAGACCTTCTATTTATGCAACCCCTTGCACCCCTGGCCTTTTCAACAATAAAGCCTCACCAGGGCCTCCCAAGTTCTTTTGATGAAGAAGTGACATAGCTGTGGCATCAAAGTCCACAGCTAGCTAAAATAGGAAGGGTCTGCATTTTCAAGAAGTTAAAGTCAAATAGTAGAGTGCAGGTCCCTGGTGAGCAAGATCAGAGACTCCCAAAATGACAGAATTGAAAAGTGGTTTAAAGGTCATTTCAGCTACCTACTTCAATACGTAATCCAGTTTCTATCCAAGATGCTAGATCCTGGATCCTAGCCCTGAGGTGGACGGAAGGGGAAGAGACATAGTGGAACCACTTAGGATGAAACAAATGGCTTTTCACTCTAAACTTAACAAGAAGAATATAATGCCTATATATATACATATATATATAATGCCTCCTAGTATAATATTCAGAAAAATAATATCTTAAAATCACACTGCATATTCTGAAGGATTTTACCAGTAGCTCACGTGCTAAGAGATTCCCCAGTAGCATTTGAAGCTTTTTTCCATCAACAAGAGAGGCAAGACCTTGGCCTTAATGTTATTTTAAGTCATTTTCATGGCCAGATATGCAGCTCATCAAGCCAATTTTGTCTATGTAAAAACAATCATTGAGGTCCTGGGGCAAGGGTAGGATTAGGAAAGAAATTCCAAAATTTTCTAAATTGAATAAGCACGTACAAGAAATAAGAGTCCTATTTTCGAAAAGTTTGCTAAGAATTTCCTATGCAATAAACAGATAGAATGTAATTTTCTGAGGTTCCACATATGCTACAAGTATTCCAGAACATATCTGCTGTTTAACATGAGGCAAACATGCACACTGTCTGCCCCGATCAAAAGACTATTAGCTATATGGTCAACGAAGATTTTCCCATAACACTCACCTTAAAACACAAGTGTAGAATCCACTGTCTTGTTCCTCAGCTGAGTGAAACCATATCGAATCTTCTTCTTTGCTCATCCTGACCTCTGAAAAGATGATGGGCTCTTCTAAATCACCTTTGTTTTTGTACCACATAAGCCTGAGCCCAGTGCTCTGGGCCATGCTGTAGTTGGTGCGAATATAACTGTAGAAAAGGGCACATTTCACTCGGACTGGTTCACCTGCCAAAGCCATGTATGTCTTGAGGTCCACTGACCAGTCAATGCAGCCATCCACTGAAAGAAAACCAGATGAGGCATGAGTTGCAGTGAGTATTGTTAATAATAAGGGTAAGAGCCATAAGCATCGCCAACATGTACTAAGAAATAGACCAGTATCTTGCTTAGACCTTAGCAAGCAGAGCCCCTGCTCTAGCCTTGTGCCTTTAGGGTGCTTTCCAATACTCTGCAGCACTAAATCCTCCAAGGAGCTCTAGCACTCCTACATATGGAGTTGGCCTCATGGCTAGATCCCAATTCCAGCAAAGTGGCCCTGCAAGTGGATTGTTCCTGCTAGCCATGTAGTATCTCCTTCACAGGATCATGGGAAATTTTATTGCTGTAATGACACCAGTATGTTGGTCTTAAATGGCTCAATTTGTTTACACAGGCCAGGAGCACCCAAAAACCAAAGATTTCTATTTCTAGACTATGCAGCGACCTCTGCATAGTCTAGGAGCAGCCCTGTGATTAATGCTTTTATTCTCATTTAACAGATGAGGACACTGAGAATCAGAGAACTTAAATGACTTTGCCCAAGTTCAGACAGCCAATAGGTAGTAGAAAAGCAGTCACCGATCCAAAGATAGTGTTTATAACCCCAACACTGTACTGCCTATACCTATAATTGTAACAAGAATCATTGTGTTACTTATTCACCATTGAGAAAGTAGAATGCTAGGGTTGGAAGCAGTAGGCACCTAAAGTGATTATCTGCTATTATACACATGCAAGTTTCCCACAGTATGATCTATTAATAGCAGATATTTAATCACAGGTCGATTTCTCTTTATACCCTTAGGCTTCCCTCACTGCTTAGTTGGTATGTACTCATGAAATATATTTGTATGAATGTCAGCTTTAATCAAATAATACTAGGTAGGCAAATACACAACTAAAGAAAGGCATATTTAGAAAGTTCCCTATTTTCTAGGAGGGTTAGAAATGAGACACTGGATAATATAATATGCTAGTCAATATGATTATTATCAATATTCTACCTCCATTTGCTTATTTTCAAAGAATTTCATCAAATTATGCTACATCCCTTTATGTTAATTGATTATTCTTTGTAAAAAATCATGCTATGACATTAACACTTCCATTTGAAAATTATATGTTTCAGTTATAACTTTGTGAACTGATCTGCTTCTTTCTTTAAATGTCGGGAACTCTGTAACCCAGTGCATTTAATCTTGTAACTTTGGCTCACAGGAAGCTCACAGCTAAATGCAATGCTCAAATGTAATAACTATCTTATCTCATGAGTTTGCTTTCTCTATATGGAGAGTTCTTGAACTGGAGTTCAAGGACATCCAAGGAGAGGATGCCTGGATAGAATCATGATATTGGCAAAACAACATGCCCATTTGCATAAGCACGTTTTTCTGGGGAGATGTTGCACAGCTCCTTATCAGATCTTCAAAGGGTTGTGTAATCTCAGAAAATTTTTTAACTCTGGCTTCTGATTTCTCTTTCTGATATCATTGTTCACTGCTCACTCACATATGGGTCTTTATTATATCCTGCCTCATACAGTATGTAAGGCATTCATTAGAAATAAATAACCAATACACTTCAAATCTATACTGAAAGGCAGGTGAATGGTCTTTGAACATTCAGAGGTACCAGATTCATTACAATGAATATTGACAGCCACTGTGAACCATTCAAGGCAAGAAGGTACTTTTTATTCACCTCTTGGTATTGGCTTGTTTACCTATCATTTGTTACTCCCATAATGGTCAAGGACAGGGAGAAATCTGCATTAGTTGTACTTTCTCAGTCATGATAAATTACTAGTGGTGTGTTCCTGGATTAAATGCAATTTTAATATTTGTTTATTATCATCTTTCTTAATTTTTAAATTTACTTTCATTTTATCTGAAAGGTACTGAGACCATGAGAGACAGACAGAGATCAATCATTCATCTGCTGGTTCACTCCCTTAATGTCCACAACAGCCAAGGCTGGCCCAGGCCAAAGCCAGGAAGCTGAAATTCCATCAAGGCCTCCCGTGAGGGTGGCAGAGACTTAAGTACTTGAGCCATCATTGCTGCCTTCCAGGTTGTGCATTTGCAGGAATCTGGAATCAGAAGCAGAATCAGGCACTCTGGTACAGAATGCAGCATCTCAACTGCTGTCTTAAACGTCCATCTCTGTGGTTTATCATGTTTAAATAAATTTTCTGTCATTCTTTTTTAAGGATTATATGAAATATTGTTCCTATGCATTGACTTAAATGAAAGGTAATGATACACATATTTTTTAAAATAGTATACTCTCATAGTTTTATGTTCAGTGTTAATAGAAACAAAACAATAGATTTTTAATATTTCAGTTTCTGTTTTCTCCTACCACTAAGATACACAGCAAGTATTTTTAAATTAACAAATTTGACTTGATAAAATAGCTTCAAATTCCAAAATTATCTACTTAATGGAAACAATGAATAGTTCTTTTTTCCATTTGCTTCATAAATTACTTTAGTTACCTATCCTAAAACATCTGTTGCATAATCTATACCTTTACTGTGTTAATGGGCTGGTTTGGCTCATTAGTCGTTGGACATGGTTGGTATTGAAGATAATTGAATTATCTGCTCCCACGTCACAACAATCATGTTCAACAGAAGTTAAAGATGCTTAACTGCCATTCCAATTAGCTTTATTGTACAGATACTGAGCGTACACTGAGAATTCATTTCCTTTTAAATATCTTCTGGGCAACATGTCCTTGATTTAATAGATTTATAGCCATTTTTCTTCTGTTCCCTTGCTTTAGGTATCAGAGAGGGGGGTATTTAGTTATAGAGCAGTCAATAGCCAGAGAGAAGAAATGTAATAATGGAGAAAATAATTTCTAAACATTACCCCCTTTATTATTTCCCTTTAGTATTTGTGGTACAAATTTACAACATAAGGCATTTCAGGAAACCTGAAGGAATTTTTCCATAACATAGACAAAGGATATAATACCAAAGATCCATGAACGTCCACCTGCCACCAAATACTTTCCCACACTCAACTTTTATCAGTAGAAATCCATTTCCATGAACAAAGAGCATTAGATGACAACAAGATTCTAACAAGGTGGTATGATTTGTTTGGGGATGGAGTAGAATATAGTATAATTGTTTTCAGATTTGGGAATGGTGAAGTAACTAAGAAGTACAGAATCAGGTAAGAGGCCTAAAATTCAAGTGGCAAGCCTACATAAAGCATAGAACTTCTTGAGTTTAAGAAGGAATAACTGAGAGATGTCAGGAGGTCACAAAAATAAGTGAAAGATCACCTGTAACTTAATTACCAACTGCCATCAGCAGTCACAGACAAAAGACACCTTCCTGTCACACACCTTCACAGCCCTTTACATATTTACTCTCTAGACATAAGAAAGTACTTCAAAATGTTCATGGAAAAATGGAATTAAAAGCTAAGTTTATTTTGGTCCAAAATTTTTTGAAATCCACACCTAATTGTTTCATAATATGCATTTCCCATTATGGTTTGAAAATTACTCATATATACAATCTCAAAAATAATTTTACAGCAACATAAACTTATCTTTTAATTCCATTTCTCCATGCACTTTATGAAGCTCCCATGTATTTGGTAGTTTCGCTGAATGAACAGAACTGTGATGCAGCTGACAAAGGAAGGTGAACGCTATAGCCAGATCAGAGACATAGTGAAACTGAATAGCTCTCAGAGAGGGCCAACCTGTGGTTCGAATCCATGGGGCTATATATCTCTGTTCTGTTCACAATTCCAGTGCCACCTGTTTAAACTCTTGCAGGGCTCCTTAAAAAGTGTCTCCCAGATTGGCTTCTCCAACAGGAGGTTTTGATAACTTGGTCTCACTGACCAGCTGCAAGTGTGAGTTGTAGCACTGCAAAAAGGGAAATACTTTCTTTACCTCCCAACCCCACCCCCACCCCACACCCCCGCCCAGAGAAGCTTGCTACAGAGCAAATCCTTTAAAAATGAATGCCTGCCTGCCCTCTGCTTCACAATCACTCTGTGTGGTTATAAATATTCTTGCCCCTCTATTAGAATATACAGCCTACTTTTGTAATCTGCATTGTCTGTTCACTCTTGAGTCTTATGAGTAGCAATTCAAGTATTTAAAGACCAATGGTGTTCTTTCACGTTCTCATCTCTACCCCCTTTGTTTAGCTTTGTATGACGCTCACAATTTTTTTCCTCTTGGTTTGGTCTTGTTGGCAAAAATGCTTTACTGTCTGTGCCCTCTAAAAGAGTGGAACAAAGGAAGCATCTTCTTTAAAAATCAGATCTCTACTTTAATTTTCATTTTCATTTTCATTTTCATTTTCATTTTCATTCCAATCTGCAAAACAAATGTGTGCATAGGGAGTTCCCTTGCAAAGTACTCAGGGTGACCCCAGGAAATCCATTCAGCCTCTTTATAGATAAGCTGCCTGCTTCCTCCTCAATACAAGGGAGAGAGAATTCTGTCACACCCAACACCCTAAAGACAAGGGGAGGGCCACGGGAGGGAGGGAGGTTGGTGGGGGGGGAAGCCACAACAATACAAAAGTTGCACTTTGTAAATTCACAATTATTAAATAAAAAAACCATATAACAAACAAAAAAAGAAAAATAAAAAGAAAAAAAAAGAACTTAATACTTTACCCTTTTGGTATTTTTTATGTTCTACTTAAAACTATTGGTTGAACTCTGTAATTAATGCACAATTACTCTTAGGTGTTTAATTAATGCTATAACTAGTACTCAAATAGTATTTTACACTTTGTGTTTCTGTGTGGGTGCAAACTGTTGAAATCTTTACTTAATATATGCTAAATTGATCTTCTGTATATAAAGAGAATTGAAAATGAATCTTGATGTGAATGGAAGGGGAGAGGGAGTGGGAGAGGGGAGTGTTGTGGGTGGGAGGGAAGTTATGGGGGGGAGGGAAGCTATTGTAATCCATAAGCTGTACTTTGGAAATTTATGTTCATTAAATAAAATTTAAAAATGCTAAAAAAAAGGAAA